CTGCCGTAAATATTTACAAAAAAGTATATTTTGTACTCTTCTCGTGTCGGGTTTTAACTACATATGGTTAATTCTCTAAGGCTTAGGATCCGTTGGTGAGAATTTCATAGTTCATTTGATGACTTTCTTAATATATCACTAAATTACTTTACTTAAAATTCTTCCCAAATTCTTTAACCGAAATACACGCATACAAATGCTCAATCTTGATCGTTCATTCAGCGTTCAATCATTCAAGTATATAGTCACAACAATGTTCGCAAAAATGTTTTGAAACATAGCTGTAGCTGAATTACTTCCACAAACGGTGACAATTTTCCAAAAAAAGTCAACTTAAATTTTTTCTAACTTTTTCCAGGTGTTTATTGTAATTTGGCTAGCACACACTTCCGAGAATACATAAACGTTTTTAACGACCAATCCTTCCCACAGTCCGTGAGATTATAGATTAAGAATACGGAGTGTCACCCCTATTCATCCGTTCGTAAGAGCCGACTAAGGGAGCAAACTACGCAGGACAACAGCACTGCGAAAAGAAGGAAAACTTGTAACAAACCGTATACGAACCCGTCTGACCAACGTGGTATAGTAGGCCAAAACCTCCTTTCTAAGAAAAGGAGGTTTCGTACTACTACGAGTATACCACGACTTACCTTAGAGAAGCAAGTGTCACGCAGTGGACTTGATGTTTTTCTTGATAAGGTAAAATAATAACTTATTTGTTCAAACACGTGTGTACATGAGCAATGATATTACAAATCAATATTGTTCCAACGTGTTTAGCAGTGGATACTCTTTACGGGTTACCACAACCATAATGGGCTGGTAGCAACGAACCGGCCCATTATGGTTGTGGTAACCCTGAGTGGTTGTTTCACTGAGGTGGTTTCACTGAGTGAGTTTACCAGAACCCAAAATCCCCTCACTCCTTATTTCTGGGGAAGGATTCAAAGGCGGCAACGCACCTCTGACTCTTGAGTTTTAGATGACCGTGGGCGGCGGTAGTCACTTACCATGAGGTGCCATAATAAAATATATTTCATGAAAAGATAACGGAAAATTCAAATATATCGTGCTTGGACACAACTGGAAGCCATTCAATTTTTTATGTAAGACGAGCAGACGCGTCGACATGAACTCCTGCAAATCAAGAGTACGCTCTTTTTTTAAGGTTTGAAGGTAGTATCGGTCCGGGAATACCGCAGATGAAAACTTGTTCCACAGATTAGTTGTGTGAGGAAAAAAGTGTATTGCCTCTAATCTATCTAACTTAAAATGTAACAGTTATTTTTTGGTATATTAGTAATGCGTACGGTATTGATAAAAGCGACACCTGTTGGCCGCATCGCTTTGTTGTTGATTTATCTAAAGTAGTTTGTAGCTACGGTATTGATCTCCTTTGTTCACTTTCGGACCACTAGATGGCGTTGGTTTGAGACATAATAGATTGATAAAAAGACTTCCTTTTTTAATCTGTTTTGTTATTCTGTCATGTCAAATTGTATAGGTGTTGAGAGTGTTCAGCTATGGTGGAAAGCAAGTTAGATTTGATTTTGTTAGCGTTGTTTTCTTTCTCAATTTAAATGTCAAAGTGAAATGATGAAGAGGGGTTAATTTCTGGAAGATTCCTGAACCGAGGATATATAAGTCCGGCTTTCTACCACGAGAGACACTCTGCTATCTCGTGTCTTTCAACCTTAAATAGTGTTTTGATTGTCGTGTAATTTGAATTTCGTAATATGTAGTCTGTTTAAATCTACCCACTAAAGTGGTAAGTATTGTCTAAATTCTTCTTAAACCTATTTGTTTCTGAAACCTGATTAATTATATGAGTGCTAATCCATTCGTAGGGTCCCAGATTTCGGGGTCAAGACGGTCAGTCTCAGACGGCGTGCTTGCTCTTTTGTGACCTTCTGGTTCAGACTCAAGTTTCTCGGTACCCTCTGGCAAAGCTGGTGATTGCGCGGGTCACGACGCAAGCGGACAGCCGTACCCAAGAGTTACGTACTTAAACTTTTAATTGCAAATTGTTAAACTTTTATCCATATCTAATATAAATAGCCGACTCGGGCGGAAGAGGAAGTAACCTCCTGGAGGGACGACGAGGAGGCACCGAGCACCATCAGCTCGGCTCTAACGCGCTCCGCTGCGGTTTTTTTTCTTTTTCTTGTACCCACACTGTTTAATTTATTTAATTTCTTATTGTAAATTTGATCTACTTTTTTTTGAAATATACATGTATAACTGAGGTGTAAGTTGTTTTCCTCTAAAGAGTCCCATAGGTTTCCCACACGCACACACTTCTATTCTCATACAAGGCGCCCTGAGGTAATCTCTTGAATCTCTCCACTGGGTCAGCCGGTGAGTAGTCCGCCTGAGAAGAAAAGCGGCTACAAAAATAATCAAATAATAAGTTTAAACCATTTAGATCACTGGTTTAAACTGTCATTTATAGACCTTAAGTAGAGCACACTTATTTATGCATTTCAATTATTTACTTGAAAACTCTACTCTTTGGAAAAATCATGATCATGTCAATACCAACTTGTGGTAGATCCCTATGAGTTTGTATAAATCTTCCTTCTATTTTAGTGGGGTGTATTGAAATTTGTCTCTTTAAACCATTTCTTTTTGCTACATAAAGATACATAAAACACATAATAGATACAAGGTACATTACGAAAATTGATCATTAATTTTGATAAACATTTAATCACAATGTGTTGCAAAGACTACATGCTCAGTTCATGCCCCTGACATTTTGCGGCAACAATCAGATATTAGAAGTCCACACAAATAAGCAAAGGTGGTTTATACAAGCAGGAAGATTCGAAGTGCCCTTTGAGTTTTTCGCACGGGTTTTGCAAGCTTTCGTGTCCACGTCACTAGTTTTGCTATCAAGAGTTTCTATTAGGTTTACTCTTGTTACGGTTACTGCTTCCATGGGTTAGACTATGACATGATGTAATTATGAACCATCCCAGCAAAACTTTATTATCTGAAAATGGATTTAGTCGCACCGCCATAATTTATTAAGGTACCGGTGGCGTAATTTTTTATTTAATAAGAGAAAACTTCCGCACTAAGAATAAATCCTGCGTCGCAGGGGACTTTACAAACAAATATGAAACGGACACAAAGAACACCCAGACTCAGAATGACAATTTGTGGATCACACAAAGTGTCGTCTCATGTGGGGCTCGAACCCACAACCCTCAACGTAGTAGAAAGCGGCGTGGGGACGACTTAAACTACTACGCCATCCGTAAAGTAAAGGTGTCAATTATGCACGAAAAGTGTTTTAGCTTAGTTAGAAAAGTAAACAATTTTTGGCAGATTTTTTAGAAGTTAGAGTGTTGTAATTTTATGATTTTAATATGTTATATTATACGTTAATAAATATCACAATAAATAATAAACACTCGTTGACTCATAAGTAACATCTCAACATATCATCACTCTCTGACCCTTTTACCAAACTATATACGGCTGAACTTTTTTATAGGAGCGACTGCCACCAGACCTACATAACCCAAGTACTAGGCGGTATCGACATTTACCCGTAACGATGGCCACATATGTTCGTATGGCAACCGGGACCTACAGCTTAACGTGCTCTCCGAAGTAAGAAGTAGTCTCAAACCTCATCCATGTACTGATCAGGCTAGGATTGCTTGACTTTGCAATATGCTAGCCTGCTCGGTCACCACCATCTCTACTTATATCAAGGTAAATTTTTAGATTCATAAAATGAAAGCACACACGAAGCAAGATAAGTACTAGCTTTAATAACACGTATACGTAGAGGCGTATTTTATACACAAGCTTTAGAGCTAAATCTTATTAGGTTGCCTTTAAAGCTCACGTAAGCATTATTAATTCGCGCCGATACATTTAAAAATGGGTACCGTAGCATAAGTAAAATTCTGCAGTGCTTCTTGGCGATAAGCCCCAGCCTCATTTGATTTACCGCCCGTCTCGGCAAATAACCTCGCCTCTTGAGCTACCGTTATTGTGTAGAAAGTTAAAAGCTAATGCATTGATTTTAATTAAATTAATCCATTTAAAAGTTTTTTTTTTGTTTTATTATTCTAGTTGATATTCAATTTTTTATTATTTGTTTTTATAACATGTTATGCTCTCTCGAAACGAAAATCATTTTTTTACGTTACTAAAAGAAAAAGTTTATAAAATCAGTTTATAAACTTTTTCTTTTGGCAAATAATATCGTTGATTTTCTCTAATATGGCAGCATAGTTATATATCGGGCAAAGGTTAACAAACCATATTATGTAAGTTTGCCATATACCTAAAAATATTGCCTACCATTTTATTTTTGTCTCCCCAGATATATCTTGAATTACGTAACTATATTACGTAATTCCGGATACATCTGGTAGCTATAAGAGTGGGTTTAAAGGCCCGCCATAAGGTTTTTTAAATGTCATAAATATAAATTAGTTAGTCTTCATAATCAGCCTAATTATCCTTTTCCTTGTTTTTTATGGAATGGTCAGCAAACGAGCAGACGCAAAATTCAAATATCGTGCTTGTCCACAAGCCTCCGCCGTTCAATTTTTCAATTTTTTAAGTCGACATGAATGCTTGCAACTCAGGAGTCACAAGCGCGTTGCCAGCCTTTTATTGAAGGTTTCTCTTTCCTTTCTCCAACTATTCTACGTTCTCTAAAAGTTTGTTTCCGCTTATTTTACTACTTTAATACTAAAACATGCTTCCAGTAATTAAATTACTCTTTATGCTATAAATTCACACTAGATAAAGTTATATAAATCAGAGGTGAAATACGTAACACGATATAAGAAGACCACAAATTCTATAAAATCCTTTTTTGTATATTTTTTCTCCTTGTCGTCAAGGCATTAGAAACGTCATTTGTCTTTTTAGTCTATTGACATTTTTACTCTTTTACTTTTATGTTTACAGTTTTTTCTTAATTTTTTATTTTTATTAAGTAGTTTACACATTTTGATATAAAAATTATGGAAACAGAGGGTTTGTTGTTACTGAAGAAGATTCCGCAGTCTGGATCATGTCATTTTTGTATAAATGTCCAATGCGGGAGGAACCTTATGACCATTCTGGGAATAGTAAGCCTCCAATGCTACTTTATATATTTTACACTAGTTGACCCCTTCAACTTCCTTTGCGACTCTCAAAAGGAATAATTTTTCCTTAGTTTTGCAACAGTTTTCATTGATATTCGTTGGTTCTCCTATTGGTTGGTAATTTAGCCTATGACCTTTCTTAATAAATAGGCTATCCAACATTAAAATAATTTTTCAATTCGAACATGGAGTTCCTGTAGCGCGTTCAGTTCAACCAAACAAACTCTTCAAGGTTGATCTTGATAACCAAATATTTGTTTATATAACTCACAACTAAATAAAACATTTACATTATCTTCAGGACTGCCGCTTTAGTATACACGATAAACTCGTTTTTAAAGTAATTTAAGCAAAATGGTCAAGAATGATACCACTTATCATTTGGTGGTGTCACGGGATAATAATGATTTTTTACTTTATTATTTATTTGTTGACTGAGTTTTCAAATAAACCCTTATTTAGCACCCGAAATTTATATAATAAACAAATATAGTAACAGTTTAAGTTTATCGAAAAAGAGGGAATCATAGCCATTAAATAATTGTATCACACAAGTTAAAAGTTTACACCGTGAACTAAACTTATATAGATAGGCGATTAGATCTCATACTCACACTACGTATAATACATCCACTTAATCCTATTTGTCGAAAAAAACAATGTTACTTACAAAAAAATGTCTCAGTATAATTAGAATATATCAGTTGGCACAAAGTTTTATTAAAATCAATTTTACCTACTGCTATTTTTTTCTGCTCTGATCAGTTTTACAGGCAAAATACTTGACTTATTCACATGATTAAATCGTCGATCTGTTAAGCATCAAGCGTAAAATATTAATTGGATCGTAAGCTCGTCCTAGAATCGATTCTAGACTCAAAAAGTTATAGGTCACCAAGAACGAAGTAACAAATTCTGTTTGTAGATTAATACTATTATCTTGTTAGTCTTTAACTGAAAGTTTTAAATATCTTTTACTTTAAATAACTTGCAAAAAAAGAAATACTATTACTTCTTTAGCAAGATATTTGATTAAGAGACTTGTTGTTAAGAAAATACATTCAAGAGATAGATAATAATAAGATAAATGCCTACCACATTATTTTATTGATGTGTCTTTTAACAAAAAATATTTAAATTAATGATTAAACACAGATTCCAAATAAGTAGATTAAATTTTATTGAGCAAACATAATAATTATTATGCTTTGAAATTTGAACAATTTAAGCAGAAGCACGTTAAAAGTTATAATAATTATAAATTATTAATTGCTGATAAATATAATAAAGCATAACGCATGCTCTTGAACGCGGAACCTGTACACAATAATCATTCATAATGTGGATTAATAAATTTTGTCGCAGTTTCTGACAATTAATTAATTAGCCTATAACAGCACATTGCTGGATATGGCTCCTTTCAATGTGCGGCATAGTACTCGGTTCTCCCTTCTGCAACCAGTTCATCCCGACTACCATCTTCAGGTCGTCAGTCCATCTCGCTGAGGAACTAATAAACTCCTGTTTGTGGATTAATATTTAACTCGTAAGAAACATTAGTTTTATTTAACATATAAGTTCAGTTGACTTATGGTGTTAACTTATGACTTGTATTTTAGAAGTACTTAATGTCCATAATTCAGTCCTTGTCGATAACTGTGTGATAGTTTATCAAATTTATTGTATTTTCAAATGTGACTAAAGAATGATATTTTTTTTCAGCTATGTGCCTTTACGTGTTCAGCCATAATATTAATAAAGGACAGAAAACATATAACCACTACGACAATTATACTAATTATATTCTTGTCACTCTTTGTGGCAATTACTATGTTGTTTGTGTTCACATCTGTTCTATTACTATTGGCGGCATTAGATGTACGTATATTAATATTATTTTATTCTACTTAACTACAACTTAAATAAAAAAGATTATGTTAAATATAGATAATTACTTAGCTAAAGAAAATTTTATTAATTTACGTGATAAGTATGACTTGAATAACAATGGATGCATGGACTGTAAGGAGACAGAAAGATTCGAGTTTTTATTCGAGTACTTTATCTTAAGTAGTTAAATTGCTTTTTTGGTGTATTCGGATAAACAGAATAAAAGCAAAGTTTTCCGTATCCATTCATAGTGGGCACTCGAATGTTTGACCAAGTACGTTAGTCGCGACGGTAATGCTAATATACAAGACTTTTTTTTTGAGCTCATCTCTACAAAAATGACTGAAAGGAACTTAAAAAACACACGGCTTAGCATTATAGCTAATGATTAGCAATAACTTGAAATGTATGAGAAAAATATGTATGACAAAATATAAAAACATGCTACAATAACATATCTTCTTAATATATATAAATCTCCTGTCACGATGTTTGTCCGCGATGGACTCCTAAACTACTTAACCGATTTTAAATTAAATTGGCACATCGTGAGCAGTCTGGTCCAACTTAAGAGATAGGATAGCTTAGATCTTTAATTTTAGTCGCAATTTTATTTTATTGGAAATTTTTGGTCTATAATTAATTGACAGTCACAATTATCTGTTAACTCCAAAACTCTGTTAACTGCAGTCCAAAAATATTTGAATGTCAAAAGTGCTCATCCCAGCAAATCACTTACGGAATGTAAATGGGTACCAATCGAGGTTAAAGCTCAACATTTTAGTTGAAAGTAAAATTGTAAAAGCAATGGGTCCTATTCCGCTGTCCAAGTTTAATGAATTACCAATTCTTTAACGGAGGCTTTGTATAGCTATCCATTAATCTATAGGCTTAACTTACTAATGGGTTCATAAAATTTGTTCCATTGTAACACCCAAAAGGTAGATTAAAAGATACTTTGTTAGAAATCAGTCAGTTAAATCATAAAATCGAGGCTATAAATCCGGCAGTCGTGAATTTGAAAACAGCCTTAGAAACTGGCAAAACCCTTGTGAAGAGAAACCCATATTTTCTCCTCCTTTTTATTTGTATCGAATATGTAGCGTATAAATTTTACGCTCAAGTTAACACACAAAGCGTTTGGTAATAAACTGGTGGAATGAACTAATATGGTTCCGGAATTTTTCTAAGAATTTTTTGAACCTATTAACTATCATAAAATTCGTTTGAGTAAGTATAGTAAATAAAGAAGAATTTCTTTTTATGACTAAGTGTAACGATGAAAAATGTAGGACTTTCTAAAGAGAGGCTTATACGGGTAGTTAAATAATAATAAATAGATAAAACAAATATATATTTCGGACAACTAACATAAATCAAATTACTACAAGTTTTTTTCTTCACTAAAGCAGTATATAATCATACGCGCACCCTTATTATTACCGGAAGAAAAGGACAATAATTCAATCATTGTCTTTCAAACATGTGTCGTATCCAGATAGGACACAATACATTTGTGCAAGACAAGATTCTTAGTGCTTTTTCATTTCTTATTCCAGCCACAATTTTCTCGAATTTACAATAATACTCATAAATGTTTTTATTTTTAGGAGAATCCAGACCTTATGTCAAATTACATATGGCATAGTATAATATACCTGTGTCTACAACTATTGCTTTCAATAGCCATTCCATTGATATTGATCGCGGAAGGAAGATACTCTGTTACGATAGCGTTGGTGTGGATGGTGATAGTCATGATTATAGGCCTTGGTAAGCATTTTAGTTTTGGTGTTGTTTGTTTGTTGAACTGATATAGAGGCAAAAGATTGCGGCATGTTGCATACCTCAGTCTCGAGCGGGGCAATTCGAAATATTTCTAGATGTTTTAAAAAAATATTTGCGTTCTTTGCACACTTTCACACCGTAGTGACCGTCACGGTAGATTCAGAGCAATGAAATAAATATAAGCTTATAGCACACATTCCACAAAAATAGCTTTAAATATAAGCATGGATGTACCCTGGGTGTATCTTATAACGGTGCAATCTATGACATATAGTAGCATCTTTGGCCTACGAAGTTTTTAAAAAGGCCTATATGTATAACTTTACAAAAAAGGAATAATTTAATTTAGCTTAGTGTATTAAGTTTATGCCCAGATCAAATCTTTTTTTTTTAATTTGATCTGAGTGTTTATGAACAAGATCTAAAAATACCCACGAATAGAAAGGAGTCTCTCAATACAAAACAAGAGAAGAATGTTTATTTATTGTGAAAGCACCGAGTATTTTTTTCTATACGAAAGTACTTTCAAAAGATTCAAAGTAACTTCATAAAAATTTCAAGGTTTTTTAAAATGTAAAGAGTTATTGGTTTTCTGAGGTCGCCTAAGAGTTCTTTAAATGCAGAATAGCACAACTTAATTTTAAAAATTTAATTTTTAGCCGAGCCGTTTTTTTTTGTTAAATTAATTTAAACTTGCAATCCGCTTATTTTATTATTTACATTAAAATTTGTAATGGGTTCCTAACATGTTTTTTTTCAGGTTGGACGCATTTTATCTCCGTTGTCAGCACTTTTAAGAACAGTTTACTCTCATAAGCATAAGTAAATTAATTAAAAAAATAGTTGTTGTTTATATTTACGACCATTCTATCATGTTTTTGATAACATGTAATGTTTTTAAGAGGCGTGCGGGGAAACCTTTGTGCCAAAGTCAGGCACTTTTGCTGGAATCGTAGGATGGTCTATCCTTCATTCCGTACTGTGCTATACATGACATAATTTATGTAGAAGAGGGAAAGAAATGTTGAATTTAAAATGCAAAAAAGGTCATATTTCAATAAAAATCTTTTCCATTGCCATGGATTTCCAAACAATTTTTAAGGAATTAATATTAAAACGTATAGTATATAGTAGTCCGCGATCAGGTTGTCGTGAAAGCTAATATATAAATGCAAAAATGATGTTAGCTGTATTCTCTTAACTAAGCGTGAGCTCGCATCGTATTTACCTAATTTTTTTTATTTGTATTGGAAACAAAAATAACCTTGTCTCTACTACTAAAAACCAACAACTTAAATAACTAGAGATTACCTATGTCGTTATATTTAAGTAAACGAATGGCAATTTACACAATTATGTTTATTCAGATTTATTACATTCCTTACCGCACTTTCGATGCCTACATATATTTTCGCTTATCCATGTTACGATAACATATCGGTCGAATGCTTCGAATTCTCACACTGACAGATAGCCACCTTCGTCAAGTGTTTATTGGCCTGAGCTAAGATACGGCTTCTACTGAAAGAAAAAAGACTATTTGCTTAGGATTGCCTCTGCACTCTTGTAGATATTTGTACTTACTGAAGACAGGCTATGAATGTGTCAAATAAATGTAAGTTGAGAAACCGTGAACAACATAGACACTGAACTTTGCGCTACCTAGCTTAGACAGTTTATAGAATTTACAAGCCAGGTAGCCCAAAATTAAGGTAAAAAGAAACCTATGGATATTTTTAATATGAAATATTATTTCTCCGTCATTGATATTGCAAGTATATGAAATTTACTACAACATTTTTGACTGCAACGTATTTGTTACTTCACTATGAATTCGTCTTGTTAAGCAGGATAGTTACAATGGTTTATTATGAAGAAGATAAAACATAACTTAACGTTGTACACGTTCCCTTCCAAAATTTACATAGCTTAAACTTATAAACCGTCAACATCTGTAATACATATAAGAATGTTCAGGGTTTGTATCTGCAGTCCGTTCAAAAGGTTTTAAAAACTAAAAAAATCTACTGTGTTTGTAATTATATTGTAGCATGTGGATTTCAAGAAACAGCCACGGCAGTTAGTCCGCAGGTTATTAACACAGTACTGATTAAAGTGGAACCAAAAACGGGAGTGTATGGTAAACACTGCATATTTTATTTAGCTCTTTATCTTATTAAATACTACGTGACGAAAATGTTAAATAGTTTAGAAAATGTTGTCGCAAGGACTTTTATTAGTTGCGATTATTCATTTAATAAAAAACATTTAATGTGGAAAACATAAAACTAACAAACCAAGTTTTATAGGTTGTTTTTTCTACTGACATAAAATATATATATAGATAAGTAAAACGAGTATAAATCCTAAAGGAAACGGGGGAAGAACGAACCATGCTGATAATGTCAGAACAAAATCTTCAAGAAGTAAATATTAATTAATGTAACATAGATGGTGGTAGAGGAAATAAAAAAAACGAAACCTTTTTTTTACTGCAGCGTATTAGTCTAGTTGAGTAACGGCTCAAATGTACCGAAGCACGGCTCTATCACGGTGTCAAATAAAATAGTAATGTTTACTATCACTTTCCATCACAGCCTTGCCTTGCCACTAGTGGACATATGCCTTTCCTTAGAAAGGATTCGTTTCAAGTTTTCCTTCTTTTGGCAGTGCTGCTGACCTGCGAAGTTGGTTCTCTTAGTTAGCTTCTACGACACACATTTGATGAATAGGGGTGGTGATGGATTAAGAATACGGAATGTGTACTATGACATGAACAAAACTATTTACACATATACCTAAATACACACAAAATAAATATGCATAGTAATATTTATTTAAAAGTATCTTAGGCATGACTCGACGATCTTTTAACTTTTTTTGCAAGCAATTTAAATTCATCTTGAAAGCGTCTAGACTAAATAATTTTAGTACTTATATTTTTAATCTGTGCTTAGGTTTCTGAGGGTTGTTGTGCTGAGGTTATTCTAAAGTATTTGAGTTATCATTTACGAATTTACATAGTCAGAGGTACTTATTCGTTCTTATCAGTCGACAAACTATGGACATTTAGCACTCGCACATCGCTTTAAAGCGATTTTCTTGCTTTGTGTTGTTAAGCATCGGATAAACGAGAGTTTATACGATACTTTTATTAGATTCCTAAAAACTATGTTCCTTGATTGTAAAGTAATAAAGCATTCTTTACGTTACATCGTAAAAAGTTAATTACTTGTTGACAACATGTTTATTTATTGCCTCAACTTATGGAAGTTTAATTTACCGTCTCCAAACTTTGAGGGATGATTTATGCAACGTAATTTGTGTGTCCTTAATAATATTTAAGTAAGTTGTTAACCGAACCATCAGTGATATCAATTCTGTTTTACGACACCTGTGCTGAGGTAAATGCCAATATATTTATGGTTTGAAAACAAAAGTCTTATGTAAACAATGTACAAGGTTTAAGAGTATAGTTCTATTAATTATAATGTCAAAATATGTATATTAAAAGAAAATAGAGCTCATTCTTCCTTGTATCTGCGGATTTCGTTCGGGGCAATACTATATTATTTAAATGTTAAAATGTGGAATTAAAGCATTCTCTAACTAAGATGTATTTTCAAGGTCAGGCTTTTCAAACGCGTTACATTTTCACCACTACTTTTTTGGTGGTTTTATACTAAAATATTTTAAATCAGAAAATTAATAAAATAAGATATTAAACGAGTTATGGTATAGTTTAGATCAACAGAACAAACAAAATGCTTTAAGAGCACCTACAGATTACTGATTATTCTAATATAAACATAATAATATAACTGGGAGATTTAGGCTGCGCCTTTATTTTGAAACATATGACTTAGTATAAAGCTGATTGTTTGCTAATTGTTTTTTTTTCTGTAGACGTATTAATCTCGGATTATTTTAATCTGATTTCATGTTAATATTTCATTCAATTGCTTTTTTTTTATTAATAATATTTAGAAGACCATATTATAAAAAATATTTATTATCAATGTAGCTGTTAATTATTATTATATTGGTTTTTGTTGCTTATGCGACGTAACACTATTATAAGTATAATAATATAATCTTTATGAGTGATTTTAGTAACTAGTTACAAACAACAAGTTTGGCGAACATTAATTTATCGTAAACTATTAAGGTATTATTCGTCGTGTTATACACAATGTTACACAAACACAATGTTAAAGTCATTGAGTGTTTCCTAAGATCAGTGACCTCAGATAGATTTAATGTTTTGTAAGAAAGTTAGAAAAACGAGTATCGTGTGCGATCTCAGCCTGCATACTCGAGTTATATCCTGCACTTAGAACCAGTATCTTACACTCCATATAAACAGTAATCATTGGCCATTGCGTTTACTGCCTACATCATACTTGGAATAAGTAAGTCGGACAAGAGGATCTCTTCTCCTTTATTATACTGTTTTCTTTGAAGTGCCTAAAGATAAAACCGTTTTTAATATGTGACTTGAAGCCTGATATGTTTTCTGATTTCCAAGAAAGGGATGTCATGTTTTATTTTAAATTCTCGGATAATTTGAATACTTTGTGAAATTTCTATAGAGCAGATGGTAATTGAATTCTTAGCATGCAATAAAAGGTGGGGTGCTTTTTAAGATGTTTTATAATATAATGAATTTACTTTTACCAATATTTGTCAATAAAATGTAAATATTTTAATTTACATCTAGGGAATTAGGCAGTAGTAAGCTTTCATTATGTTTAAATAATTGCATTTGGTAAGTAGAATCCTATTTGGTATATTATGTATAAACACATGTCTAAAGCTAATAATAGATCTAATCTGATTATGCAACAAGCAACAAACATGGACAAAAGACGACCGACAAAGCCTCAAACCTATCTTCGGTAACAGACTTGAAAAAGTTTTCATTCAATAAGGTTTTCACAAGTAAGGTTTTTTCTTTATGTTTTGCAGAGGTCTCTCTCTTATATTAGATGACTTTAAAATTACCAATGATTTCAGCAAAAACTAAATTGATTTTTTTTTAAAGGTTTTCAGAGGATAAATGATGAATGAAATGTATTAAGATACCTTAAAAATTACATGAATACAAATGCAATATGATTTACTAATTGAATAAAATGAAAATCGTACAATTTTATTACAGGCAATTAATCATTACAAAAAAGTACATTCTCAGCAAAATCTTAATTTACGTAAATCTATTCCTGTATGAAGGACAAAAACTGGGAATCAATAAATGAACACACGACTGACTGCACGGATGGCGTAATGGTTTAAGCGGTCACCACGCAGCTTACTACTATCCCCGACCCCACATGAGACGACACTTTATGTGATCCACAAATTGTTGTTCTGAGTCTGGGTGTTTTTAGTGTCCATTTCATGTATGTTTGTAAAGTCCCCCGCGACACAGGATATATTCCTAATGCGGGACTTGTCTTTTCAAAAAAATTATTAAATGAAATGAATTACATATGTAAGGAATATATATCATGTACGGATTATTGCCTTGTGAGAATTTTTAGAAGAGTGACCCTAGTTGTCTGTACACAGTGTACACTAAAACAAGATTTTAATTAATAGCGAAAGCTTCATTTGTTGTGGATACCAGTGAACTGTGTTTTATTTTAAAACTCACTTTTACTCTTTTCACTCACTTGATATTTAAAAAGAGGTGGATCAATTAGCAAGACTGAAGTTTAAAAATCAACCAGTATGAAAGTAATCCACACTACCATACTTTATATACAAAAACGTGAAAGTGAGTTTGTTTGTTAGCTTCCACGCTTAAACCGGTA